CATAAAACCGTAAAAGAACCATTTGCAGCCAACTCCGGTTATTGTATTCCGAAGTGGGGAGGAGGAACAACGGTGATATTGCACTTCGATACTACATCTCGGGAGGATTTACCGCCGTGACTTAGTAGGGCTGCGGAGATGGAAATTCTTGGCTAGGTTTGTTTCAGTATACCGATTTACTCTGGTGTCGAGTTTTTAATCGCCTATTGCAAGTAGCAGGCCTCTGACGTGTTTGTGTAACGACCGTCGTCTAAGCAATGATAGACAGCAACCGCGACCGACGGCTTAACGTGCCCTCCGAAGCACAACCATCTTGCTTTTCGGATATTGAAGTGGTTCAGCCTGCAGTTTATGCAGACTGGGAACAAATTCACAAAGTGATAAATATCAAGTTTGTGACTGACCTACCGAGAATCCAAACCGGAACCTTTTGAGCCAAAGGCAGTCGCGCTACCCCTGCGCCACATCGTCATTACATTAGTATCCATCTAAGAAAAAAAAAGTGAAGACAGAATAAAAGCGACACTAAGTTGAACAACCCGATGATAGCGATGAATGAGTGTTCGTACACGTTCTAACTGATAAAGCCGTCCTAGATCAGTATTGACAAGGTAGGATGTATCAACAAACCCTATACTTAATATAAAGTATCTATGTAAATTATAAACACACAGGACAAGCCAGAGAAGCACTAGAAACCCCTGGCAGCCCTAAACCCGGGCAAGTTGGCACGCTCCGCACCGAGCGCAAATAAAACCCCCAAACTTGTATGCAAACAGAGTTGGAACTTGCTCTAATAAAGTACAAACATTGCGGCGTGCTTTGGCGCCCAGACTGGGGCCGTCTTTGTACGCGACGCAGACTTAATTAAAGATGGCCGCTATTTTGTTATCTTGTACCGTATTCTGTTTAAATTATTAACATGATTATGCTTAAAGATTGAAGCAAACTATTTAGCATTTGAGTACTTAATAGCGATTGTGACGTGTTTTGGCGCCCGAACTGGGACCGTCTTTAATGATGGGACTTAATTATTAATGGCCGATATTTTGTTATCTTGTACCGTATTTAGTTTAAATGATTATGCTTAAAGATTGAATAAAACTATTATGTATCTGAGTGTTTACTAGCGGGTCCGGCGTGTTTTGGCGCCCAGACTGGGGCCGTCTTTGTACGCGACGCAGACTTAATTAAAGATGGCCGCTATTTTGTTATCTTGTACCGTATTTAGTTTAAATTATTAACTTGATTATGCTTAAAGATTGAAGTAAACTAACTATTTAGTATTTGAGTATTTAATAGCGATTGTGGCGTGTTTTGGCGCCCGAACTGGGGCCGTTTATGTACGCGACGAAGACCTAATTAATAATGGCCGATATTTTGCTATCTTGTACCGTATTTAGTTTAAAATTATTAATTGATTGAATATGCTGAAATGTATAGGAATTATTTATTTCGATGAATATTTCTAGTAATTTTGTCGACGATAGAGTAAGTTCACCCGGAAGGCCAATAAGACATTGACGCTCCCATACAAAGACGGTATAAGCCGATTACTTCAAGAAAGTTAGCGAAAAAAATGGCATTGACCAGGCTGTCATATGTCATATTTCCGGTAGCTTTCTTTAAGTAATCGGATGAGACATAGCAAATTGTTTAGTGTCAAATTCCACAAACCAGCTTATTGCTAGACTGTTCGAGCAGTAAAATAAATACCATACATTATAGATATGTAAATGGTACAGTGATTTAGTGCCGGGTATCTATGTCCTAAATCACGGTAACCGACTAGAACAGTCAAACTTGTACGTAAACAGGATTAGAACTTGCTGATACAGATACAGCATAAAATAGAGAGTATACAGAAGGTTCACTCGACCCTATTTAGGATTTTCGCGACTGTCAACTGCTACATAGCCAGCTACTGTCAAAGATCTCAAGGTAGAAGTACATCAAAACAGCAAAATCTGATACAAGAACGACGTATGCTCTGAGCCAATTTTAATCCAAGAAAGATGACATTCATGGCAACCATCTTCTTAGTTACCTTGAGTTCCCCTGAGATTCCATTCATTTCCAGTTAAGGCTAGTAAGCGTCAGAATTGTCGCAAGTACTGAGTGAGCCATCTGTAAGGCGCCCCGCGCGCCGTTTCCTTAATTTGTGGGTACAGTACCAAGTCGCAAGTTACAACCCATAAACAATGCGGTATGTTTCGCCGTCCAATCCGTGTAGTGGAGGCGGTCAAACTTAGATTGTCTTTGGCAATTTAGTATCATTGTATATCGTAAAGTGATTCATGTTCTTGAATAAAGTATATAATATATATAGAAATTAACAGAAGTGTTATATAACAAGCCTAAGGAAGGTCAAGGTACCTATCACACTGAACAACTTTCATCATTCAACAAGAGTCTAAATATGAATAAAAAATTCAATATGTTTAATTTTTTTAAATATAAATCGCCACTCAGCATTTTTTCCATCAATCGCACGAGCGCCACCTTCTAGGACCTAAACGAACAGACTAAAAAAATCTCATTTGAAAGCATTTTCTCACAGAGCTGTAAATTTCCTAAAACTTCCATAAGATCTAGACACACGGCAGTGTGTCCGCCAAGTTCGAGCGACACACCGGCCGTGGGTTATATTACACGAACCATTTCGGGCCAAGTTCGACCCACCTATAACTCAAAATCTATTTTATCTACGCATATGAAATTTCTAGTATCTGTTGAGATCTACTTACTCATCTAAAATACAAAATTTCATTAATGTACCTATTGTAGGTCTTGAGATATTGACGTCAGAAAATCGCTATTTTTACTATACACTCACTGACTGACTCACTCATCAAAAACCTAGACCACTTCCAGTGGTTGTATTGACTTGAAATTTGGCATGGAGGTAGGTCTTTAGGTCAAGGTAAAGGAAAAATCTGAAAATGGCCAAGTGTGAGTCGGTTTTAAAAATAATGAAGGTGTAAATTCATACCCCTAAGGAACTAATACAAAAATTATCTATATCTTCCATTGGTCGTACCAACCTAAAATTGCAACCGACCGAAAACCTTACAAAAATAAATGAAATCCCACCCAAAACATAAATGTGAAAGGCTGCCAAGTTCGACAATATTGGAGTGCTTCGCCTATTAAAGAAGTGAGATCTAAATAAGTACCAAGTTCCATACACAGACCTCAGTTAAAATTGAAACCTACTTTTTAATGATATAACTTGGCAAGTTTTAATAGAAAATTATATACTTGACTCATTGCGTTTTGTAGGTTTATAAATAAAAAAGTGTGTGAAAACTTGCCAAGTTATATCATTAAAAAGTAGGTTTCAATTTTAACTGAGGTCTGTGTATGGAACTTGGTACTTATTTAGATCTCACTTCTTTTATAGGCGAAGCATTCCAATATTGTCGAACTTGGCAGCCTTTCACATTTATGTTTTGGGTGGGATTAAGTTATCTAAAAGCTTAAGAAGCAAAACATAAGTAAGATGCTTTTAATTTATTTGGCAAACTCTTGAAAACCCCAATTCAAAAGGGGCTAAGTTGAAAGAGTTCCGTTTGGCATGTTCTTTTACGTTCTTTTATGTAATTTTATTACCCGACTGCCTCAGAGGGAGGGTTATGCTTTTCGAGAGTATGTTATGTACGTGGAAAAGTAAATTCTTTTTCACAGACTACAGCCTAAACAACGGATGTTGGCATACGAGGTGTCGTTAGATTCGTCTCAGCAGCGCGAGTGACACCGGCTACTCATCATAAATTCAAAATGCCGGATTTTAAACGGAAAATATAACTTCGAAATTACTGCAGTCGGGTTTTTGATTTTTAAATAAATTAGATTTGTATTCTCACTGGCACTGAAACATTTCCAGACCTCGAATAGCCTAAACCGAGGAAGTTTCAAAATGGGTCTACCTGGGCTAGAATTTAGACAATTCCGCGCTGTGGTTCCGTACGAAATTAAAAGTTAAGAAATTGTTTTGTTTAGAACTCTAGTTGGTAAATGTGTTCGCTGCAAATTAGAAAGACACAATAATAAGAAAATGAATGCGGCGTGCCGTTGGCCGTCTGGCTTAGAATAGGATCACCTTCACCCCATATCTGTCCCGTCAGTGATCGCTCTCGTATTTATGAGAGACATTCAGAAGACTGTGTATCACCATAGCGACAGGTTGTCAGGCTGTCGCCTAAAATTGCAATACACATCAACTCTCAAATCCCTTACTCGATTCTTACGACACCCGCGGGAAAGAAGTGAGGCTTGTGAGGTGATGCTATTCTAAGCCGGCACCATACTATAATACGATAATACATTGGAATAAGCAAAAAACTTCATTATATGGTTTTAAAGTTATAGATTGAAATTATGGGTTTTTCGTAATTTATTGTAGAACCCCAAAAAAAGGCCGGGTATAACGACGCCGAAGGCATCCAATCTGAATATGGAAATGGTCGCCGGATTCCGACTGCGGCAGATAAGGACTTTATGGCGAAAATCTACACCCGGTATTGTATACAGAGTGTTCCGTTGTAAAAAAACGGGGACACAGTTTGATAGTCTGTGAAACGCTTGATTAGGTACTTCACAATTCGTGTACGGAAAGAAGATAAGGATGTAATGTTTTTATTTTAGTTTAGAGTATAACTAACTAACTCGATTTTTATAACTGTGCGTTTGGAGCTGTCAAACTTTGTATGGGTTTTGACAGTTCAAGTGTCAAATCGTATAGAAAGTTTGACAGCTCCAAACGCACAGTTATAAAAATCGTGTTATAGTTATTTTGTTTATAAGTATTCCGGACGGCGAAAAAGGGAAGATCGTGATTTAGAGGAGGTGCTATAGCCTTCTTCTTTTCTAGTAGGGCACCGAGTCGATGAACGACCCGATAAACCCAGGTGTCAGTGTTTTTCAACCACTTCAACGGCTAGTATGCCTCTGACATGGTTGTGTAACGACATCTAAGTAATCATAGACAGCAACCGGGATCAACCCACCGAGAATCAAACTCGGAACTTTATACGTCGCAGGCAGACGCACTACCACATCGGCTATAGGCTGTTCTCATGTAATTCTTATGGTTTGAAGACATTAGCTTAGTTTGGTTATAAGTCATGTCATAATCATATGATGCGTACGTTCGTACTGCAATTGCGCATTTTACACAAAATCCTATACGTTTTAAACACGACTGGCTTGGTTTTTCATTTTCTTAACTTAAAAACCCATTAAATTATGACAAACTTCCCTTTTACACAGCATTTTCCTCCGTACTCGTTTTAGGCCTGGCAAAAGACACGTGAATGTGAACCAAAATCTCAAGGATGGGTAATTCATTTCGGACATAAATTATTCATTTAGCTACGGCGACGACGCGTGACGTGGAGTCTTTAGGCCCAGTGCCGTTAAGACCCGGTAAGTGGGTCTTACCGTAAACAATGTAAACTTGAGTTGAGGGCAAAATTATCTACATAAAGTAAAGACGCCCGTAGTTCTATTGGCAGAGCAGTGGGGCGGTTACCCGCGGTCCCGGATTCAAGCCCAGCGGTCATTTTTCTTATCTTCAATTTGTGAAAGTAAAAAACGCTAGAAACGCTGTACGTGTTGAAGATACGGTTGATAATTTGGCATACCTACTTAAAAATAATACATGTCAGCCAATTCTTACTTGTTTTATGTTATGATATGACTGCTTTTAGAAAAGTAACTTCATTTTAGCCACACGGGAGGTTGAAATGTATTAACGTAGCGATAATTTAATTTATGTTTTTAAAATCGTCTAGTGTAGTTTTTTTTTTGATACCCCACACGATAGGTAAGCATCAGAAGAAATATTTTTTTTGAGAAACTTTTTACAAAAAGAGAAACTCCGCCATCTTGAAATATTGTGGATGAAATTTTTATTTCCTCGGGTGGAATCATTCCCAATGGTCCCTACCCTAGTATCAATGAGCAAAGCGACATAAAATGTGCCAGTAAATGACATAAAATGACCTAAGACTATAACCACAAAAAGTTTACGTGTGTTTTTAGGTGCAGAAATATTTCATAACACATGTTTAACTTTCATGTGGTAAGACCCACTAGGTCTTATCGGTAGTAGGCCTAGTCGACCTTGACGCGATTTTTCTTCCCTAATGTGTGAGAGGGGAATGCGACGTTTTCCTTATAACGCATTAGGTGTGTTTTAAATTTTAAATCATAAAAGTTAAGAGAGTTAAGATAGATATTTATTAAAATGTTAGATTGTAATAAAATAAGGCGAACGTAGCTTTTTATAGGGAGAAAGTAGGATCGGATTTAACAACTTGACGACGCTAACTAGTTGTTGGTCTTCATTTGTCAGGATTTGGCATATTTTTGGTGGGATTTCACAAGTAAAACCATGGGCTTATGCTTCTTAGTTCTGTATTCCTTGTGCTTTACATTATCAGAGGATTAACATGGTATTTCCAGGTTTCTTAACAATAGACGACTCGATATAATTTTACAATGCTGAGCACGCACTCCTCGAATGACACATTGACACTTCCTTGAGATCTCCTTTTTTTCCTGGTTTTCGTACAGACAGGGTAAGGCAACAGTAGTATGGCTATACCGCCCCGTTCTTAGATTCCATTACTCGCCGACACGGCCATTCTGACGCTACCACACGTCCTCGTGTGGGCGTTCTTTATCTGAAACAAGTTTAGGCACAGTAGGTTCTTCTGCTCGGTCTTTCCTGACCAAAATCATGGAACTACAGTTAGGTACTTAAAGTTCTCAACATAGCACTAATCAGGGGCAGGGTCAATCTTCAAAGCATGATTATTTTCAATTTCCGAAAGAAAATGCACACATTGATTACTCGCAGAGCTAAAATTTCTACCTTATTTGGAGAGCCTGAACCTATTGAGTATAGCGCAAAAACAATTACAACAAAAGGATAGTAGATTAGGTAGATATAATTTTTTTTAGTACCAAAAATTCATTACCATGACCTGTTCTCTGATCAGAACCGACAAAAAAAAAAGTATATTTCCAAAATGTGCGCGGAGAACATCATTTGCTACATGGTACCTAAATTCTAAATCATTAAGCTTACAAATCTATATTTTTATTCATAATTTGGAATACGAAGACGTATTGTTTTTGTCACCTTAACTTTTGTCACGATAAAAACTTCATTACCATGTGCAGATTTATTTGTGTTTGAGGTAGTCGTAATTTTCTTTGATCTCGCTGCAAAACGAAGTCATTTCTCTCGCCGCGAGTCAATCGATCGGCGGACGTTGTGTTCTGTGTGGATGTGTCTATGTTTTCGCGACAAAATCAGATCGAAGTGAGTAATTTGGTGTTTCAACCAGTTTTTTCTTCATTACACGGCCTGAATTATTGAGTTAAGTTTATGTTGTATCTTTAATTGTTTGCTTTATAATTATTACTCTCAAGTAGTGTTAGGTAAACATAAAAGCTTTTATGAGAAAAGGCGGGAAAGATGCGAGATTTTCTCAAATATATTTGATTTCTTCATTACCAGGCCCTTCATTACCGTCTTTACCGTAACCTTTTTGAGGCTACGGTAATGACGTTGCCGCGACGGAGATGAGAAACTCTTTTTTACGTTTTTCTTTTTTTAGAATTGATAAATAATTATCAGCAGTTAATGCTCAAATAATTTTCTGTATGTTAATGTGCATGTAAATTATTTATTTCCCAGTAATTAGAATAATTAAATGTAGTGTTTTTGTTGACTTTCAGTGGTTGGTAATCCGATTATATAAAGGGCCCTGGAAAGCCTCTTCCATTCCTCCATATTGAAGTCCCAGGAGGCTCCAACTGCGTTCAGCTCACTTTGTGTTGTACGCGTTCAGGTTTCAACCGGTCTGCCACGTCGACGTTGCCCGATTGGCTGCCACATGAAGACAATCTTGGCTAGGTCGTCGTCGCTTTAGCGTAGAGTGTGCCCAACCCAACTCTATTTACGCTGAGCAATTTCCTCTGCGATTGGTGACTGCCTGGGTATAGACTACAGTAGATACCTAGTATGAATACAACGATTTATTTACGAAAACTTGAATTCGACAAGGTTTTAGTTACCTTCCACTACTCATAGCCGTACAACAACACTGACTTTTCGAGCGAGATGAAGAGTGAGATTTTGATAAGTTGGGTAAGGATGTTTGTTTTCCAAACAGGTTTTAACTGAGCGCATACACCTTTGGCTTTCTTTATCCTGTCCCGCCGTCAACGTCCTCGTCTGAGCCACCACTGTAGGTAATGGTGCTGCCCCGAAACTGCTGCTATAGAAAATTGAAAGTAAAAAAATCACTGTTTGACTTTTGCGATTATTTTTATCGGGTGTGCTCGTGAACCACTTTGCAGGTGCTGTAGATGCAGAAAGCTTTGATGATGTTGACCTGTCTTTCGTGGTAAACCTCTCCTTCTTAGCGTTGCCAGCATCGCACTCCTTTTTACGGTGGTCAAACGCCTTTTTAAAATCAACGAAGTTATGTACCCTCAAACTGTAGTTCTACGCATTGCTCTATCAGTATCCGGAGCGTGTTTTTTGGTCAGCACATGAGCGCCCAAGGCGAAAACCAGCTTGCTCTTCGCGTAAGGTTCGTTTTATGTGAGGTGACATCCTGCCCAGCAGGTTCTTAGCTAGAACCAAGCAGAAGAAAGTATTGTTATGCGACACCAGTTGTCGTTCTTCGGAACTTTAGTCAAAAGCCCTTGTTTCCATTTTGTGGGTGCTTGATCTTCACATTCCCAGATTCGTGCTATGAAAGGGTGCAGTGCAATATTTCAGATGATCTCACTGCGTATTCTATAAGTAGCTCTACCTTAATGTTGTTAAAACTAGAAGGTTTTGCCGGATTAAAGTTGGCAATAGTTTTAACAACTTAGTTTATAGTTGAGGCGGTCATAGGTCTATCAAGCAAATCGTCAGGATTCATTCTAAAACTGCTGCCCGTTTCACTAAGGCTGGTTTTACAGCAACGCTGCCCGGCGGCGCTGCCGGGCAGCGTTGCTGTAAAACCAGCCTAACAGCAAGTATGAGTAAACCACACTGAAATGTTCGTGTCATCTGTTTAGCTGTTCTTCAATTGTACAAAAGAGTTGTTCATCCTTGGCTTTAAGAGGTTTCTTAGACAGAGTTGCATGCCCCCCACTAAACCGAAATGTGGTGTCATACAGGGTTTTTGATTTATGTTTTTTATTTCATTACCATACCCTAAATAAATCATTACCAGGTAACAGTTTCATTACCGTAACTAAGCTTTATTTATTTGTGTCAGTATCTCCTTAAATCTTGGTTCTATCAGCGTGCCTTGCACATATGTGATACATTAGGTTATAGTCTCTCGTTACCTACGCGAAAATTTTATTTTAAACGTACTTTTTTACCCTATTAAAAAATTGCGCAAATATTGCGCCTTTTGAAGATTGACCCGGCAATGTAAATATTTCAAGATTAAATTCACTTACCCAGTGGATACCACTGCACCAGCAGTCTTCACTTACCCAGTGGATACCACTGCACCAGCAGTCTTCACTTACCCAGTGGATACCACTGCACCAGCAGTCTTCACTTACCCAATGGATACCACTGCACCAGCAGACTTCACTTACCCAGTGGATACTACTTAACCAGCAGTCTTCGCTTAACCAGCGGTTACCACTTAACCAGCAGTCTTCGCTTAACCAGCGGATACCACTTAACCAGCAGTCTTCGCTTAACCAGCGGTTACCACTTAACCAGCAGTCTTCGCTAACCAGCGGTTACCACTTAACCAGCAGTCTTCGCTAACCAGCGGTTACCACTTAACCAGCAGTCTTCGCTAGCCAGCGGTTACCACTTTACCAGCAGTATTCGCTTAACCAGCGGACGGATCACTTGACCAGTTCACCGTTTCTCTTTTTTTCTAATCCACTTGACCAGTAGGTACAACAGGGACAAACAAATTGCATCGTTGGATGCGCACCACACACTCACTAAGTACAGAAAGACTAGAGCTACGGCTACAATCCAACTACATGCAATTTTTTGCCAACAAATTCAGAAACTACATGAGCTA